CTCTCTCTCTCTCTGTTTGTTTTGTAAGCCAGGTACCTCGATGAAATACCTGCTCATTTTTCTGTGAAAATATTTTACAGTGTTTTGTTGTTGGTGTTTTTTGTACAGCGTACCAAATCTCAGAAACAAGGCTTAAGGCTTCTTTTGAGCTAGTTTTAAAGTGATACGCGTAGTCTATAGTCATGATAATGAAGTGAGCATCACAGAGGAGTCAACAGTATTGTTTAAAAATAAATGTATAAAAATGATCTGTAAAAGCGATCAGAAAAATATAGTAGAAGTAAAATGAAGTACAGTGTAGAATTGTTGGCTCTCAGCTTTGTGTTCATTTTAATGTGTTTAGTTTGATGGCTGTTTTCTTTCAAAGAGGTGCACATTATTTTGCTTGTGTACTATCCAGTGTGACATTAAGTAGGGTTACTTTTTGAAAAATTTTAGGTAAAATACATTTGTTCTTTTAAGCATGAGCATGTTCATCTTTGTATTCAGACAGATGGACAGGTGAGCTTGGTAGACAGACACACGGAACAGGCAGACTGACATTCACAGACAGTCAGAGCACACATGTATAAATCTGGCATAATGCTGATTTTTACTTTTCCCAAAGAGGACTGCTAGCTTTGCAGAAAGGAAACAAGAATTATTCAATCAAACAGCTCTCCTTCCATATCCAGATTTGAGTCCAGCTGCATAAAGCTCGCCACATAATCCTTTTATCAAACCCTCCGATGGAATACTATTATTGGAAATGCCCAGACAGAGAAATAATATTAAGGTCATTTCTATCTCTAGTTTATTTTCTCTGTAAAAAAAAAAAATCACCTCTGCTTTCCGTTTTTATCTTGAGACAATAATTACTTCAGGTTTGCAGGACGGAGACCTGACTGCTGATTATTGCTGCTCTCTGACCACTGAGGGAATCTCTGCCCTCATCAGTAATAACTGAATCAAATTGTCCTTATTTAAAGCATCTCTGTGCTGTAGTGAGCATCTGTCAGGCCGGTTGGAGTGGAAATGTAATGTGGGTCAGCTGGTGATGATGGCTGCTTGAACTAATATCTCTAAAGTGTCAGATATGGAAGCTGAGAGAGCTGCTCTTCTGTCCTGTCAGCATTTTACAGCTTTATATCTCTGCTCTTTCGATGTCTGTGTGTGTGTGAGGGTTTAGGTGTGTGTGCAGATCAGGATTTTGTTGTATTAAAACAATATTCCTGAGTGGAAGGAAATGATTTCAAGTCCATCAGCTATTTTCGTCTGAAAGGAATTCAGGTGTGTTCTGTTTTTCTTCTGTATCTTGATGTAGTTTGAGTGCAATACATGGTTGCTTATTTGACACCTTCGAAACATAGATAAACCGAATTTAAAGTAAACCGAGAAAAAGAAAAGGGATGGATATTCCTAGATTTCCTTGTAGTTTTATCTTGGCCTTGTCTTTTGGCGGTTGATAATTTCTTTTGAGGGACTAGGTTATCATACCGTAACTATTTGTAGGGAAACATTTATTCCATTTCAAGCTCACTTGAAAAACACACAATTCTGAAATCTGATTTCACCAAATTGAATGTTACAGACACAGATGTCTCTGTGGTTCAACGGATCATAAATCTCAGCGGATCTGGAATTTAGTTTTAGATAGGATTTGATTTTCAGGTCGGCTAAAAAAAAAGCATTTAAAGTGAAACTCTTCTTCTTGTTAACTCTAATCATGCATTTTGACAAAATCACAAATGCATCTATATTAATTTTAACCATGTCACAACTTTCCATCATCCATAACATGTCATAATTTTTCTTCACTTTCTGCAACACATTGCAATTCCAGTCTGATGATAACAAGCAGTTAGATGCACCTACAATTTCCTTTAAACCAGGAAGTGCTTTCAAAAATCTGTGTACGGCATGTTGCATTTTAACAATAGTATTTGCCCCCCACCCTCCACAGGGACATCAACATTACTAAAGTAAAATAGAATAAATAGTTTGTTCTAACCTTCATTTTTTTTCTTTTTTGTTATGATTTTTTTCTTCTGATCCTGCTGCTGCAGCTGACATGTCTGACAGAAACTGTCAGTGTGTGATCAAGACTGAAGTCTTCAGAGTAGGGCTGAAAACAGTGTTAGGGAACCAAACTGTCTGGCTGAGGATACAACTCCAGACTGCAGCAGTCTTAAATATTACAAAAGTGGATCGACTGATTGTTGTCACCACCACCACCACCTAGTACCTGTATAACATAGCATTCCAACCAACTTGAGCCTGTCTAATCTATCAACCCTGTATGTCATGTTTCCATATAAAAGTCCCAACCACAAATTTTCCAAAGAGGACATAGCATTTCTGACCTTTCTTTCACAAAGAGACTAAACACAACTCACCTACTCTCCTCCAGCAGCCGCTTGTTTGTAGCGAGACCTCGGGCCAGTCCATTACAGACTTCAGCGGGGTGACGCAGCTCAAGAAAGAACATTTATGATCATTTCTTTATCATTTCCCTGAAGTAATAATCATCATATTCATTATTTTACACTGCAGACGTGGTAGTTCTTCTGCCTTAGCGTCTTGGTCTGATTGCATTTCCATGAAGTAGAATGATCATAAATGTTCTTCCTTGAGCTGGGTCACCCCACTGCAGTCAGTAACGGACTGGCCTGAGGTCTCGCTACAAACAAGCGGCTGCTGGAAGAGAGTGGGTGAGTTGTGTTTAGTCTCTTTGCTAAAGAAATTAGTCAAAGTTAAAAAGATGTTTGTTGGCTAGTGCTGTGGCTAGGACCCTATATGTACTGTTGATGAGGTTAGGTGCTGTTCTGAGCATTATTGGTGGCTATAGAGTGGCGTTTTGGTTGAGGTTTGTGAGTGGTTCCATAAACCGCTGTGTATTGCTATCATGCTGTCGTTACTAAAGTTGGTATAACTAGAGAAGCAAGCGGTCGGCAGCATTCATCTCTCGAGGGGGTGTCTTACTCGGTGTTACGGACCTGCATTTGACCCTTCTTGCAAGCTAACACTCACATTCCTGTGCTGGTCGAGTATTGTAGGCTGTAATGACTAAACTTGACATAGTCTATACAAATTTATCTCCATTTTCTAGTACCACAAAACTGGGCTGCACTCCAAGATGCCACGTGACATGTCATGTGCGCTTTGTTACATCCAGAAAGTTGAGCATTATTGCATTGGTTCTTAGCACTAAGCTGGACATGTTGGCATGCTAACACACCAAATATGATAGAGCACTGGTTGTTGTTGTTTTGGAAGTATGTAAGCAGATAATTTCAGGGACATGCTTCAGAGTAGCTGTCTTTATGGTCCTGTGTTTGAAGTCATTAGAGATAAGATAATGCAAACTTACTCCTGATGCAGTACCGGTGTAATTCTGTTCAGATCTTGTTCCTTCCCTTGGTGCTTGTTGGCGTAATCCTTGTTCAGTCCTCAGTCATGCGGCTCAGTGTAAATCAGTTTATTTTAACGTCAGAAGAAAAAGAGAAAAAGGCTTAAACATGAGTTGCGAATTGACGATTGGATTTATTTCTATAAAGGATGTCCAGTTGTTTTGACCCTGGCAATGGTTATCATTTTATTCCACTGATGGACTGACATGGCCCGGACCTGGACTCTGTGAATCCAGGAAATAAACGCCCCCCCCCTCTGTCCATTAGTCTCTGCGAGCCAGAGAGGCCATGCCAGGTCCTGGAGGATCACTCCATCCTACACTCTGCAGTGTGTGATATGATAATGGGATAACAAGTCATAGTTCACTCTTCAATGACTGCTCCTCAGCTTTAAATGTGTGTGTGTGTGTGTAAGTGAGAGCTCTGGAGCTGATTGTGTGTGGTTTTTTTTTGAGTGTGTAACTACAGGCCTATAATTATCCTCCTGAGGAAAACAAGTGCAGAGTGAGTGGTCCATTGTGGAAACAGGATTATAGCCTGTGAAAGAACAGAACGCTTCATGCTTTGTGCTGGCTAATGTTTTCAAGTTCAAGTCTGAGCGGTTTGATTTGTGCTGATGTGTGTGTGTGTGTGTGTGTGTGCCTGTGTGTGTGGATAAGAGTGTGTCTCCTTACACTAATTTTCTTTCTCTTTATTCTGCTCTATATCAAACTTTGTTGTCAAGGAATGTGGCCTTGTGTTTGGCCAGAGAAGGTAGTTATCAATATGACAACACACGGACAAAGAACTATACACACATTTACTCTTGCAATCAAGCGTCTCATTTAGTTTGTTTTGGTGAAGGTGTACAACTCAGAGGAGAAGAGAGCGAGAGAGAGAGAGAGTGAGAGTGAGGTACAAAGACAAGGCAAGAGAAAGAAAGACAGAAAAGAAAAGAGAAGGCAGGCTTTTCTTTCTCCGAGCTCCCCGTGTCAGTCGTGTAAGAAAGCCGCCAAACCAATAATTTTGTCAAGTTCTTTTTTTAGCGGAGCGGCTGAAGCGTCTTTGGATTGCCACATGTATAAAGGCAGCCCATATAAAGCCATTCACAGCACTGAATGAACACGCCATCTGTGGGGCTTTCTTATTTCCTCTTCTCTTTTCTTCCCCTCCTTTTTCAAGCCTTGTAATCAAATTTGAGCAAAATCAAATGGCGGGAGGATAGAGAGAGAGAGCAGTTGTGGGGGGTGTGGGAGGGAAGGAGGGTTCAATGAAAGTACCTTTTGTTGGTCTGAAACGAGCAAGTAATTTACAAAATGCCCTCCCTTTGTGCAGGGGGCTAAGGGAAGAAAGAAATCAGTAGCTTTTAGAAGCTAGGCCTTGCGCTGCGACGGGCAAGATAATGAAAGCCGTCTTGTGTTTGTGGGCTAGAGAGCATCTCAAAGGCAGACCGGGCCCCGGCTCAGGGTTAGCTCTGCTGCTGAAAAAAAAAAAAAAAAAAAACAACACTCTCCTCTGTGTATGTGCGTGTATGTGCGAGTGTTTGTGTGTTTGGCAAAGAGCGGCAAAACAGGACGACTGTGCCCGGCTACTCTTGGCAGAGACACTCCGAGGAACAGACAGAGTTGTCGATGCTGAGGAGAGAAGAAGGATGAAAGAATGGTGGATTCACCGGCGCTGAAGGCTGCTGATCTCCTCTTACCTGTTGTCCTCCTGCAGGTGCGTCCGGACAGCCCCTATATTCAGAGAGGCAACACCTCCAGAGGGAAGCGATGGCGGGGATGAAACATCCTGCAGGGATCATTGTGCTGATGGATTACAAGGGGCAGGAAAAGATATGAGACTGTTTTCCTCCCCCCTGCATGGCTGTCTTGGAGTGCAGCACCTGACTGCTGAGGGACACTTTACCTGCACGGATCTTCTGGATTATTACCTGAGTGACACCTGGGTACACTGCTGAAGTGGATTATAGCAGGTCAGAATTTTGGAATGATGGTACATTTCTTTTTCTTTTTTTTTTTTTGCAAATTGATCTTAGCCTTAACCTGTTGACTCAGACAAAAAAAGAAATAGAGTGTGAATAACAGGTAATTTACCTGTGATGCTGTCAAAACGAAGATCTGTCATTTGCATGAGAGCTTTAATCGAAAGTTAACTTCTATTTACTTCAGTTTAATGTAACTGAGTGGCAGTCTTTCTTGAAAATAAAATGATTATTCTTTATAACATATCATTAAGCTGCACTTAATTGTCATGTGTCCTGGGCCTACAGATTGTTTACAGTGAGGGGCTGTTACCTGAAGTACCTTCCTGCGATTCCTCCACTGGTGAGTCCTGACAGTTTAAATGACAGATATATTAGTGTGTTTTTCTCCTCTTTGCCTGTGTCACTTTCTCACTATCTCCGTTTCCATCTCAACCCTTGATGAAGTTGTTTCACATCGTCTCTCTAAAACAGACTCTACCTCACTAAAACATACTTATTACTTTTATCACGTGCCATCTCAGGTGTCTGAGTGAAATTGTCTGTTGACTTGTTTTTATCTGGATAAAATGAACAATTTCATTCTGGCCTTTTGTCATAAAGTGCCTCGTCTTTACAGGTGGGTACATTCATACGTTTGTCCTAACAATTTTCATCAAGTTTGCAACTAACTAGTATTTAAATCAGTAGGTGTGCTGCTGACTTTAAAATAAATGTATTAGTATTTGAAATGTATAAAAAGCTTTAATAACTGCTGGCTTAAATTCCCGAGAGCACAAAATGAAATCTTTGAATTGCTTTATTGGTCCATCCAGCAGTCCAAAGGCTCTTCAATTTACCAACAAATCTGACAAGAAGCACCAAGTTCTCACGTCTACAAATTTGATACCAACAAGTGTTTAACGCCAGGCTTGAAAAAAATACTTCAACATTATCAAAATGGATGAGTAATTTCTTTCTCTTGACTACGTTTTCTTTGCTAGTGTTGATAATTTGCTTGCTTTTTCATTCCACTGAGAGAGGGCCTCGACCGTGCAAGAAAATCACCAGTATTTGCTATTTATCATAAATCTAGATGTAAGTACAAATAGAGAATAACTGTTATGGGATTTCGTCTGGTGAGAGTTACACAAGTTCTGTTACAGGTACAAGGTGAAGCTACAGGATGCTGAAATATCAATATTTGACAGTTTTTGTTTAAGTATTGGCAAGTTTTCTTGTATGTCTGCTAACAAGGTGCAGTGCTGATATGACTCTTTTTTGGGGGGGGAATGTAAAATAAACAGTACTTTAATTGCATTAAAATCAATCTTGTTATAACTTTCTGTGCTGTATGCACCTAAAATGAAGACAGAATGCGACTATAGTACAGCTTTTTTTACTTGTGTAGGTTCAACAATTCACATTAAAATTAAAATGTACTTGGAGGGCATCTCAAAGTTGTCAAATGGAAACTTACAGTAATTCATAAACTGGTACTGTCAGGAGGATGGACAGACTGACAACATAATTAGACAAAACAACGCAGACGTAAAAAAACAATCAAAAAACAATTAAAACAGTGGATGAAATAAAAGCAGAATTAAAAGTAAAATATAGTTTCAATGTTTTTAAAAACTAATTTAAAAACATAGAAACAAATAACTAAAAACAAACCATAAAACACTAAAACAGGAGCGGAGTCTCATGCAGGGTTAAAAGCCAATGAATAAAAATGGGTTTTAAGACGAGTTTTAAAAATGGACACCCATCAGTTATTATATAAATACTTGAACCATCTTTGGTATATTGTATTTTGTAGGACTGTACATCTTTACAGGTCTTATGATTCAATTCAAATATGCTTATGTTGTCACTGATCAGTTTGGTTCAGTATCAAAGTGTAACATGACGTTGTAATCCACACCTATACATACACACACATGCACACGCTTTTTTGTGGTGCAGCCCACCAAGCTTCTTTCTGCTTTTTTTCCCTCACTTTGTATATTTACATACAAACACAGTAAAGTTTAAGCAACAATCAGAGCATCAGGTGTGTGACTGTCACTATGAGCAGGAGAATTAGGGGGAGCGCAAGCAAGTGGAGAGAAACTTACATGATCACTGGGAAAAAAGTGAACACCAAGTCTATCATGGGCCTTAAAATAGCTGTATCCATCCTGTAGGCCTTTGGTTTAATAGCTACTTTACAGTCCAGATTGCAGATGCGGTGATCAGTAAACACCAGCTAAATGCCAAATACAAGTAGATTTGCGATTATGAGGGTGATTTGTACCACATTATTCGTGTTATAAAAGAAAGTATACTTTTAACTGAGCTTTTACCTTTGTGTGGCTTATAGCGTCAGTCATTAGCTCCTCTGCTGTATCTGCTTTTGGGAGCTGAAGTGGCACACACAAGCAGAATGCAGTGTTTGCACGTACAAAGTCAGCAATAATCAATTAGCTGTCCTTTATCCGTCACTGCTATAATGCAGAGCCCCATGTCTGCAAAAATGGCTGATTTCAACACCCCCACTATGCCTGCAAACCTAAGAGCACCAAAAGCTGATAATGTCATCTCTAAGTAATCAATCAGTATAGTATATACATATATATCAGTATATAAGTATAATACAACTAATCCACCAATCTGTTATATAGAGTGGAAGGCTCTGTTTAGAAGACAGTGGGTAATCATAGTAACAGTGCTTTTACTTTAAGTTTTTATGTAGTAACATCAAGCACAAACTTCAACAACTTTTAAGGTATGCTGTAAGTGGTTGACCCATTTATTAAATGTCCACCATCTGGGTCCTCATCATAAATGATTGACGATATGTATCTAACTAGAATAGTCCCTCTAAAAAGTATGTCTAATGTGTCGAACTGTGCTCTTAATTCTCATCCTATGTGATCCAGTGTTGTGAATTCCTCACAAACCCTTTTAAAGTCAGTAAAGTTTCACAAATTTCTTCCCACAATGTCTGTCTTCAGGGAACAATAAACAAGCAAAACCACATTCAAACGAGCCAATTTCTCTGCTGGCATGTTGAAATGTCAGAATTTGCAGTGGAACAAATATACTAGTTAATATTCAGTTGGAACAAAATGAGAAATGAGCTATCTTGGTGTTGCCACTCGCTAACAGGCAGAGCCTCAGTCTGTCTGGAGGGTTACACTCACTTAGTCACATGACATGCATCGCTGCTTTGATTGTTAGCAGCAGACAGCTCAACCCCCTGTTCCCCAGCACAGGTGTAGGTGTGGAGAGGAGAAGATAGGGTTACACTGGCATTTCATTTTATCTTTTTTTCTAAATTTTTAATTACAGTCATATTGTGCATAAATTTAAGCCTATTGTACTCAAAATTTCACCCCAAAATTTTGCATTTACATCCAAATACTGAAAATCTTTCAAGTTTCTTCCTCAATTTAAATAATCTTTTCAAAAATAGGAAAGTAATGTGTACAAGTTTGAACTAGGTTCTCATTATGATATCACACTATTTAAATAAAAGGCCTCCCAAAACAGTGTTTTAACCTTCAAGTCTCTTATTAATCTTATCTTATTAAAAAAATACATACTTGAAAAAAGCATTAGCATTATCTACTGAGTGATATCTAACCATGTTTTTATTTTGATATGCAAGTTTTCCAACTGACAAGGATACCAGAAGTAAACCTCTGTCTCAGAATAATTGTCATAGTCAAAAATAGAGCAATAAAAGGAACAAAACAAGACAAAAATGTAGATGTGTGTGTAATCATCAGATATTCTGTCAAGGCCGGAAGTATCAAAATGAATTTTAGCTGCATCATATCATTTTTTCTGTCTGCAGTGACACGGGTTATTTGAATTTGACCATAGCAGCGTCCTCTCCTCTTTTAAATCTCGTGGATTATTAATCTTTGCCACCATAGTAGTGTGTGTTGACCCGAACAGCTCCCTAAGGACTCTATGATAACTGGTAATGGGCTGTTAAAGTAGTGAGAGGGGCCTCCACCGATCAGCACAGGATGGTCTGGTCCCACCACCAATTACAGCTCATTGAACAGGAGAGGCAGAGGGTTGATTTCATCAGTAATCTATGAGTGTGCACCTGCATGTGTGTGCGCGCATGTGTGTGTGTGAGCAAGCGTGCGTGTGCATGCATCTGTCAGTCAGGCTCCTCTTCCACCATGCTAGCTGTGCACAGGCAGTCATTAGCAGCAACAGCCCGTCATTAAGCCTGTCATTTCCTCTGTCTGCCAGCTGACCTACTGATATGGACAGCTTCTGTACTTAACCTATGAACTCTGATTTCCCCGCTCATCACACAGACAGGTTGGTGTGTGTCTGTGTGTGCGTCCGAGTGTGTGTGTGTGTGCATGTGTTTATGGATGCAGCAGGGCTTTGTTTTTAGAGATTTGTGACATTCAGAGCACAATTGGTTTATAAAAAGATCGAAGATGTACCGTGATGCACAGTGTTTGTCTGATTGTTCATGCAGACATTATTAACTGTACTCGTTCACTGCAGTCAGATGTCATGTTTGTACTAAATCTTTGAAACTGAGTCACTCCCTAATTTTAAGTATTGATATATGTACATTAAAGACATCATTGATTGTTTTTTTATTAAAGTAGCTGCTTTGCTGAGTTATTAAATGGAGTGTTTAGGCTTTCCAATGAATTTTTCATTATCGGAAAACTTGATCACAAAACCGAGCTCGAGTATGCAATGAGGCTTCCTGGATGTTTGTAATGTGTTCAATAGAAAATTTTAATTATTATGGCATTTTGGCTTTTCTTTTAGCCAGAAACAGCGGTTTAGGAGGGTGAAAATGCAAACTTTTGAAACTGGCTTTGTGTTGTGACATTTCTCCACTCGCACATGCAAATATTTATACTCTCTATGTGCAGGTGTGCTGTTGCTCTGCAGCGTTTGATGACAAAGTTATACTGTCAGGTTCTCGTCAAGCGTACTCCAGAGATTTATTAGTCATGTTTATGGATCGATGTGCATGTGGATCTTTTTCACAGCACTTTTTTTTAAGCAAAGAAAGACTTTTCTGTTTGTGAACGGGGCTTTTCCTGAGTAAAAAGGCTAAAATAAAAAAAATAAAGCTACTTGTAGAGCCTATAAATATTCAGTTGCATCAACTGAAAATATTTATGTCATGTATTTTTTATTTAGATCTTTTGTTTTTTGGTTATTCTTGTACCAAAGTGATATTTAGACCTGAGTGTCAGGCAGTTTTATGTCTTAGGTGAAGAAAACAAGCGTGTGACAGTGAAGGTAAACAATACAATCTATAAACATTTGAACCAGGAGCAATTTTTTTGTAATTTTATTTAATATTTATAGAAGTTTCTCAAGAGAGGCTGTGCTGTTTTCCTCCTCAAACAGGCGATGATACACATAGAAATAGATAGAATCACATTTGAATTGGAACAGCTGTCAGATATGAATTTTACAAGCCCAACCTGCGCCGCAATACAGGGTCAAAAACCATCAAAATGTAATTTCCCTTTGACTTGACAGGAATGTTTTTTTACTGTCATGTTCTCACAAAGGCATCCCAATTTCCTTCAAACTCCACATGCTGCACATTTACTTTGATGCTCAGTTTTGTGTCTGTTTGCCTATTCCTCTTTGAATATCCTCTGCAGAAATAATGTATGTGTAATGAGGCTTTAAACAGGTGTGTTCTGGTCCCCTTCATTTAAATATCCACTAATACCTCCTGACTTCTCCACTTCTGGGATTAACCTCACGCTACTTTGTCTTAGCTGCAGCTCACTGTGGCTCTCTGGAAGCCTCGTAGCAGCGATAGAAGCTGAAATTAGGCAGCTTTCTGCCCCAAAGCTGCTGCATTAAGACAGCCCTCACCTTGGCCTGCGGGAGCTGCGTTAGCCGTACGGCTAATCCAAAAGCTAGCAAAGTCAATCAGTCAGACCTTAAGCTAACTAAAGCTACCTCTGCTCTGCCTTGTCTTCAGGAGATAAGGTAATGAGGATACAGAGGGGGTTAAGGTGAAATTTGGTGGTGGTGTTCTGGAGTTTGAGGTGGTAACGGATGACCAGTGAATATCGGGGTAAATACAGCAGCTCTCAGGTAGAAGGATGGAATCAGAGTGGTATTGTCTTACGATGATAAGGCAATGAGAGGCTTACAGAGTTGTATCAGTGGGCGAGGTTGGAGAGTCTCACACAGTAATACCTGCTATCTAGATGTGACACCACAGCTTGGCCCCTGAGCGGGCTGGGTGGTGTTAATATTCCTCTTTTGTCTTGTCCTGATAAGCTAATGAGGGTTACAGTGAGAGGTGATGAGAGTGTTAAGAGCTGCATTAGTGGACCAAGAGGAACGAGGGACAGTGGAGCTGTTCAACAGCTTGGCAAGAAACTGTGGGAGCAATCCCAGCTCCACTCGATGGTCAGGAATCAGGTGTTTTTTTATGCTGATAAGGAAGAGAGGGCAGGGTCAAAGTTATGGGGGTACTGAAATGAAAGATTTACTTCTAGGGGATTGTCAGAGATTTTTGGCAACTGCCAAATTTTAACTTTTATCTCACTGAAATCAGCCAGGGCTCAAAAATTGTGAAGCATCTGCCTTTGTATTAATCATGAAAAAGGTTTGACTGTTGAACTAAAATGAACATGTGTCAGTCATGCCGTACAGAAAAACATACCTGTATTTGAATATAACGATACCTCATGAGACAGTTGTAAACTGGTTTGCATGATGGTACAAGTTTGGAGAAAGAAAAATACAAGTTGACTTGTATTTCCCACGCACAGACAACACCTTAAGGGCCTTTTTTTGCCTGATATTGAGGTATATTTGCTGACCATTATTAGCATCTTCTCTTTCTTTTTATCCAGGAGAGAGAAAAACTGAGAGAGGGAGAGAAAGAGATATCAAGCTCCTTAAACAACAAAAGAGCTTTTACCTTTTTGAAGGGCTGCTACATGAAACATTTATCACTGTTAATCATTTTGTCTACCTTTTCTTTTATTTACCCCTGTCACTGAACAATTCAGCCTAATTGTCCTGTTAAATTTTTTAAACTAAAAGCATACCTATCAAAACTGCACAGTAGCCATTGACATTTTAAGGAAACGTCCTATGAAAATTGATCAGTGTGTTACTTACACCTAATAAGAAATGTAAAAAAATCTCTATTTTGAATAATTGTTTTATAAGTTCTGTCTATCCTTGCAATTCCATTTACTGCTTTACGCTTACATTTTCTATTTTGTTTTCAAAATTTGTCCCATATCTTGTACTCCAAAACCTTTTGAAGCTTCTGTTAAAAAGAGTACAGACATAGCAGCTGTTATTGCTAAACTTCAGTAGCTTTAAGTGAATTTGGATGACTTTATGAAACAATCACAATCTACAACAATATGGATGCTGCATTGAAGTGAAAGTTGAATTACAGTAATTGTAATTACTTTTACACTGCAGCCAGACTCCCCTAAAAGTCATCTGTTTATATGACCTGCTAGAGGTCTCAAACATCCTTACATCATGCCTTCGTGAAGCAGACCTAAGGGTGCTGACCAAACTTTCTAAAGACAGCTCATGTTTCTATCAAGGAGTAATAAAGCAGATGGATGGAGTTGGAGGTAGTTGCTGGTATCTTATAATGTGCAAAAAGAGTTTGATTTGACATTCAAAACTTTGCATTCTTTACTGTTTTGTTTCACTTTGAGCTTATTATAATAAAAGCAATCCTATAAGCATTTATGATAAATATTAAGCAACAGTTTTGTTATACTGATAATCATCTTTTGTGTGGGGTTACACTCAAATGAGTGATGAAAAACAAAAGACACAAGCTGTTTGAGTATTTTGGTCAGGAGGGACTGCTTGTTACAAACACATGTAGTTTGTGAAACATGCTGAACTGCAGACAGACAAAAAAAAAGGTGCTAGTTGAATCTCAAAAGCAGATTTAGTTGTTACCCTGTGTCATATTGTTAACATTGTTTTGAACGAAGGTAAGGCTTGAATGTAGGTTTGTGTGAAAATTTAGTTGATACACTTTACTTTGTGATTTTAATTATGCTCTTATGGTCCTCATAACTTTTTTATTTTACTTTAGATTGTCATGTGTTAAACCAAGATAACATGTATCCTGTCCTTATCAGACTCACCTGTCTTTTTACTACACATGCTCCTGGTGTTTTCTGCTGCAAACTCAGCAAAATTTCAATCAGTGAAACCTGGTCAGTAGAAACAAAGTGTCGCATCCCTTAAAAGTTGAATTAAACACACAGAAACACAGACCTTTTTTTTTCATAGTCTCTAGTCTATCATAGTCTCTTTTTTATAGTTGCTTTAGGTTATTAAAACCTTGTTGTGGGAAAGAGTGTTGAAGCACTCGATGCTCAAAAGACAATAAGTGGTTTGTGGATTGCACATAATAGGCACACATTTATTGTGAGAGCGGTGAAGTGGAAGGAAAAGAGGGGGCAGAAAGAAATCCAAAGGTAGAATTAAAGCATGTTTATTTTTAACTCTTTATATTTACTCCACTTGTATTTTTGCGCTGTAGTTTACTTTCCAGTATAAGTCTGATGTAAAGTATATCACATTATATGGTTAATTATCCTGTTTTTGTCCTTTTCATTTTGATAAATCGAAAAGGTCTAAGGGCTTTATTGTGTATAATAGCTCTATAGAAATGAAACGTGACATTTATTTTGTAGAGCATTTACAACCTGATTTAAAAAAAGTTTAGTTAACAATGTTACATGTTGTAAAAAACAATTTTGATTCGTAAATCCTTTTAACTCAATATTCATTTGAAAGACGTGCAAAGACAACATAAACTGAAACTAAGAGAAATATTTTATGAAAAATACACACTCATTTTAGATTTTTGGAGCAAGAAAATTTTTGAAAAAATGTATGATGCTAAAAGACATGCTGAGGAAAATTTTGTAAGATAAATTTCCAATATGACTGGGTATCAGAGGGCGTTACAGAGGGGCTGAAAAATAAAGATGGGGAGAGGTTCACCTCTTTGCGAGAGACTGTGAGAAAATCAACAATAGAATAATGTTACATAGAGTAGAATTTTAAATGAATTAGGGATTTTGTCATCTACAGTACACATCATTGAAAGATTCAGAGTATCTGGAGAAATCTTTGTACAAAAGGGAATAGGCTAAAAACCAGAACCAGAGGGTCTCGATTATTGGGCCTGCAGGCGGCACAACAGTGTAAATACAGACATCCCTCTGAAGTGGAAATCTCTGCATGAGCTCGAATCACTTCCAAAAACTGTGTCTGTGAACACTGTTTAATGCTTCATTCACAAATGCAGGTTCAAACGATGCTAGGCAAAGAAGAAACCGTTCATAAACATTCTTGAGAAACACCTCTGGGTCCAAGTCTTTGAGGTGGTAGATCATAACTAAAATTACAACACAGTAGACCGGGAATCCTAAACCTGGCAAGAATGGGACCACATTTAACCTTCAAACTCCAGAAACTGATCTCATTGACTCCCAAACAGTTGAAGAGTGTTGTCGAAAAGAAGAAGTGATGCAACACAATGGTTAACCTGTCACTGTCCCAGCTTCTTGGGACGTGTTACTGGTATAGAATTTGAAACAAGCGCATAGTTTCGAATACATTTTTTAGTTTTAACATTTGTACAGGTAGTCTCTTTTTATGGTATTTTCAATCCCCATATGGTTTAAACATAGACTGTATATAGAATGAACAGTGTCTGCCTCCTCGCTGGGTGAAGCCACTCCGAGAACAGCACCCTCTGGTGACGGGCTGCGGTATAGTTCATATAGCCCACCTCCTCCAGCAATCCCTATGGAGCTGTGGACAAACTTTAGAAATTAATTACACAGGATATAAATTTTTCTCCCCCCTGCTTGCGATGTTGACATGTAGTTATTGTAAGACTGGTTTGTGCTCAAGTCCTCTTTTTTCTGTGCAGCTCCGTATTTAAAAGTTATTAGGGGGTTCATGTTTTCTATGATTAACACTTGATACAGCCTATGGGCATACAAGGATTGCGTAGCTCGACCGGGGATACGCTGTTTGAGCCAAGCGTCATCACAGCGACTCTCTGTGACTCTCCTACCGAATGTGTACAACCTTACTGCGCAATGTTGGTTTCAGGAAGTGGAGAAAAAAAGCAGAATTAACAAGAGCTTTTTGGCTTCAAATCTGTATATTGGCGGAAGGCGGAACCAAGTTGTCCAGAGTATAAACACTCTGTGGGTTTAAATGATTTGCAAAGTATCAAATTCTGTTTTAACATTTTACAAGGCGCCCTGACTGCTTTTGGAACTACGATTGTACCAATACAGTGACTAATTGAATTTCCCTTCAATGAAGTTCTTCTTTTAATTCTTCTTCTTCTTCTTCTAATTCTTCTAATTCTTCTTTGTCTAATTCTTATTCTTTCTCTACTCCTTCTACTCCTTCGTCTTCTAATTCTTCTTCTTCTTCTTCTTCTAATTCTTCTTCTTCTTCTAATTCTAATTCTTCTTCTACTTCTTCTAATTCTTCTTCTTTGTGAAAAATTCGGGCAGTTCAAAATCAAATTATGGCATCAAGAAGGGAAAAGGAGCATCAGCAACCAAAATATAAATAGAGGAAAAAAACATATGACGTACACACGGTGATCAAAGTTTGTGTGTGTGTTTGTGTGGTGCGTGTGTGTGTATGTGTGCAGCCTTTAAGATGCAGGGTGGATAGACAGCAGCAGCAGAAGTCATTATGTGTGTGTGTGTGTGTGTGTGTGTGTGTGTGTATCTATAATTAATAGTGCAGATGATGAGGCCTCATGTAATCTTCTGCAATCCATCAAACACCAAGCTGACAGTCGAACAATACACAGCCCAGGGAGGGGTGTATAGATGAACATGCACGCACATACACATGCAGTACTACACAGACACACGCACACATGCATACATAACATGATGTAAACAGAATTTATGTCAGAGAGAAATTTTGAACTTTTACATTTTCTCCCCCTAATGAAGGGTTTCTGATTTAAGTGACGGCTAAGTGTGTAACATTGTTGGTTCAACAGCTGCAAAGAGAAGTACAAAACGGACCAAAAACTGCCTCTAAAAACATACATGCACACACACACACACATGCACACGTACACACACACTCAGCAGCTAGCTTTATGCATTTCAAATTTTCAGCTCCAGTCCTTCATCTGAGTGCAATTACAGCAACGGTTTGAAAACAAATTGATGGTGCAATAAATAGGTTTTTCTTGCTTTTATACGAGAGTACATTTTTCATAATTTCTACCGAGAAATAGTTCTTGCAATGACGTGCCAGCTGTGAGTCTGAATAGACCTGTATTGATCGGAATAAGTGTGCGAGTGTACAGGTGTCTCTGTGAACCATCAGTTGTTGTTGGTGGCGGCGTGTGCAAGCCTCAAGGCCTCTCAGCTATCTCGCTTACACACACACACGCACACACTCACACACACTGGCTGGCACCCTGCTCTGCTTTTAGAGCCATTACTGTCAAACAGCTGTTAGCACGTCAAGAGAAGTGGTGTTGATGGGAGAGAGCGAAGGAGGGGGAGAGGCTGAGGGATAAATGGTCAGGGCCAATAGATAGATAGATAGATGGACGGATAATTGGGTGTAGAGGAGAGAGGGTGGGGTGTGAGGGATGAAGTGGTGTATGGATGAATAGTAGGGTGGGGGGAGGGAGAGGGAGGAGAAGGGATGGGGTGCAGGGCCCACTCTAAGTGAGGACAGATTGATGTAGGTGTCAGAGAGGACTCTAGAGAGGAACAGCCCTTTATTTGACAGTCAATTATCAGATAGACCCAGTGGCCTCGCAGTCCACGGCTGTCACCCTCATACAGTACGTAAGTGGGTCTCAAACACTGGTTCGGCACCCAGAGCTGGACGGCTGAAAGATTAATTTAGGCCTGAAAAGAAAAACGGTGGTTTTAGGTGTTGAAGGTGTGTCAGGGAGAGTTTGTCAAATTGTTCTGTATCATGTTGTTGGAGCGTCTCTGCTCTTTTTATTTCCTACTGTCAGGAGACGGTCAAGATAATAGGAAAAATGTATAAAAATGTTCCCAAATAGAGACACTGAAACACAAGTTGTTTTACAAGATCGGCTCAAATGCTAGACAGAATGAGTAGATGCGCTTTGAGAAGGTGTGAGGTCACTTAGTAGCTCTTCCCAGTAGGAGATAGAGACAAAGGTGAAGGATGGAGTATACAGCTTTGAACACAGCATACCTATTAAAACTTTTGATAAATAAAAATCATATTAAAACACAACGTACCACAAAAAGCCAAACAATAACATGATAGCACAACAGTGGTCAAGGTGAAGCCCAGTTGCACAGCGTAGACTAAAAAGTGATCACAAACATATAAGGCCTAGCTTGTGTGATAGTAATTTGAAGTAAGACTTTCACCTTAGAGCTCTAGTGAGAATCTTTGGGTTGTTTCGGTTCCCCTGTGGACAAAGCGAGACAATGCTCACTTTGCCGATCCTGTCCTAGCAGTGTAGCAGTATTTTCTGACCAAAAATCTCACTTTATTTAATTTAAATATCTAATATGGAACTTTGCCACTGAAATCAAATTAAAGAATAGTCCTTTAGAAATAATCACTCTTCTTTGTGATTGGCTCCTTTGCTTCTGTAGGTCAAATAAAGTCATCAGATGCAATCTAAATCCGTTAAACAAGCTCTTTAAAGAGCATTTAGGGAAGTTTACATGTCATCTACATGAACAGATTTATTTTGCCTGTAAACTTTAAACATCTTTAATTAAACCATTCTGTTTTGATGAGAGAGTTCATCATCTCTGTTTGAATAGTGATTTATTACAAAGCCATCGATTTGTTAAAAAGTCTTGAATTTGTCATGTTGTCATTGTTCAAAACGCATTTTCTCAGTAGCTTTGCACCTGCTTGGTGGATATCACTTTCACTTTTACTGTGTTGTTGGACCTTACACCAACACATTTTAGTTTTTATGTAGTGTCACATTTCACATGTAATATGATGACAGATCCAACATAGTTTCAGCATCAACTTAATGATTCAGTCCCAATGGAAAAAACACTTTTAATCACAGCATTAGCAGTAGGAGGCAGTATTATAAGAAAAACTTGAATTTCCCAGAAGTCAGTATTACTTAGGTACAAACTCAAAGAAGGATACTCTGTGAATAAAGCAGAAGATTTTAGACTAATATGTAAGAAAACACAAATTATTCATCAGTTCCTAAAAAATGTTATATGACCATAAAGAATGTGAGATTTTCTTCAGGAATATTTGGATCCATACTCCTGACAAATCTACACAAACACTGAAAGCAATATTTTTCCTATGTCGTCTCTCCAGAATGTTGTTGCCAGTGCAGCAGGTCCTTTTAGTGCACATGATTATTCTGTGCACTTGATGGGGATGGGAAAGTTTTGAAGCAGGCTCAGAGTGTGCAGGGCCCTTTCAGACAAGGTCAGGGGAGGTGTGTTGCTATTGGCTAGCTGCAGCGCTTCATGATGAAGCCTCATGTGTGCTATTCAGTGTTTGGCCTTGAGCTGGGATGCCACAGGCAAGTGCTATGGAAAAAAAGACAAATGTATGCTGCTGAACTGACATGAATGCTGTCGGTTAAAACTGATACATGAATAGGTAGAATACATATATATACAGGACTAGTATACAATTATATCAGATATACAGCTTGTCTTAATTTCTCCAGTTCTGTAAAACATTAAACCAAAGGAGGACTGACTGGAATTTTAGGGAAAAATGGACAACAAAAACAAGCTGAAATGTAGACAGCAAATTTACTGCTCACTTACAGGTTTGTTAAAAATTAAATGCGTAATTTAAAAAAAGGAGCCTGCAAAGAAAAGATACTCGACTTAAGAAGTGTGATCTCTTTATTTTACTCCTGAATTCTTTGAATTATAATGACACAAGAATTTTCAAGCACAGACATCAAAATTTTGACTTTTAAACGAGAATACAGCTACACAGATACATCTCTGTTTTGAGTTAGAAACTGATCTTGGTGACATTTAGAGGAGCGTTGTGTAGAAATAAAAATATTTGATGATATCTAGCAGTCAGAATCTGGATTGACATGCTCCCTTGCTCACCCCTGCTGTCCTCTTCCAGGACAAGAAGCTGCTCTGATTCATTCTGTGTTTGACCCTCAAAAAAGCATCATGTCAACAAATACCTTTAATGCAATTTGCATAGCTCACTTGCTAAATGCAACATGCATGTTATCAGTCTGTCTGCTCTTTGTTATTGTTGAAATATGATTGTGCAAGATGGTGGCTACCATAAAAAGGGACCCACTTTTTGTGGTTTTTACATTTAGGTAATGATATACTAATTTAAAACCTTTATTTAATATTCAATTTCTACTAAGTTGGACCTATTAAAAGCACCCATGTTCTACTGACTGCACCTTTAATGGCCATAAGATATGGACTGTGATGCTTTTAGACTTATTCAACCATAAAGTATTCAAAGCTTACCTTCTTAGATGCTTGACACGAGGTAGAAGAGATTAAAACATTATCGTGTGTAAAACTTATTGGAGGCACCATGTATGCAGAAGAATGTTCAGTGCTGTTTGTGTTTGATTCCCACACAAAGATACTGAAGGAGATTTGACTGAAATAAACACAAGACAAATGTAACATCCCTATTAGTCTCTGTCCATGGTGCTGAAAACTAGGCAGCTACTGTAAACCCAAGACGAAAAGGACAGCAACCCATCAGTGATCAGTACATGAAGTCTGGATTTTTGTTCAACAGAACAAAATAAAACCAGTATCAGTAATTTTCTCTTCTTTTTTGACATGTTTTTAATGAGGATAGGTTGTACTAACTGGTATGCGAACTTGTCCGTAGTCGAATAATGCGCACTCTGAATGTGATGCCAAATCCTACATGTAACACTAGCATCCATATTTTTGATACAGGATTATCCAGCCAATAGGTTGATAATACAGAATTCGATTCATTTTTCCATTAGGATAGAGTGACTTTGACTCATTGAAAAGGTATTTTTGTTTGATGGATACAGAGCTGTTAGTTTAGCCTGGTATCTTTAGCCAACTCTTTCTATTGTGTCATTTTTAGTATTGGTGGGGTTTTCTTTTAATTCAGTTTGCAATTTCAACAGAAATACTCACATCAGATCAGATCGGTTGGTCATTCGTATTTTTCTATTTAGAAGCTATTTTTTTTAACTTGATTTATTGGTATGTGAGCATTTTGGAACAACTCACTGTGTCGCTGTGATTTGAAGGAATGGTGCGTTTGTTTTCTATTTTCCGTTTTCTATTTTCAGTGAATTGGATCTTTTTTTTAAAGATAGGAAAGCCCTGGAAAGTTCAGGCTTGTGGGTTCAAGGACCAAGTACCGGTTTCCACGCTGTACTTTTTGTTCACAAAACATCATCTATGTTTTGACATAGCTGTGGGAAAAAGAAACTAAACTCAACTTTATTCTGTATTTCCATCGTACAAAGAAGAGCCGCTACTCCAACAAAACAGAGTTTAGATGATCATCAGGGTGAAAACATTTATCAGCAGCTCATTTTGAGGAGGAGATCCAATCAACGCCATTTAGAAACACGACCAAATGAGATCACAAACACAAAGATGCACCGTGTTTTGTCCTCGCAGCTTTGCAGGGTTAATGTTCGTTTATGCGGAGTCAAATCAGCCGCTTCTATACATCAAACCCTTTAATGGGTCTTAATTGATCTTGGTTCATCTTCTCTTCGCTCTACCACTTTCTTGTCCTTGTGGAAAAATTGTGTTGAGCTTCATTATTAGGTTCTTGCTCTCATCTCCCACAGCCTCAGATTTTTATTTTGCGAATCAGAGCTTTGTTTGGATGTTTTAGCGTTTATTCCTCCTGTTAAATTTCCCTGGATTTATAACTTAAGACAAGATTAAAAAAGAAATAGTCCTTATGATAACCTGTAATTATTGTGTTCTTACTCTTCAACGAGAAGTGAAGCAGCGTTTCTATCTCTGCTCAAAATTTCTCTGTAATTCTTCACTCATAGTTCTGTCTCATGTCACATCAGCAGCTTCCTTTTCTCTGGTTTTGATTTTTGTGCAAGCACTTGTTTGTTATGTGCATGTATGCGCGTTGTGTGCGTGTATTAGCGGCGTGCTATCAGTGCCCCCTGCAGTAAAACCAAAGGGAATAAAGAGACGAGGGAGCGGAGGGGGGGGGAGACACAGCAGAGGAAAGATAGCAAGGACGTGTGAGAGAGAGACGGAGAACAAGAGGATCGTTTTCATTATCTCCAGCACACAGAGGAACTTAATCACACTCGTACAACAGAGAGAGAGAGGGAGAAGTCTTATAGCTAAAGACTGCAGCAGCCTGTGCGCCGAGGTGCCTGCAACGTACAAACCGTACAGCAACGCTCTGGAAATCTACACCGCTCATACACGCGCACAAAATACACACAAAGAAACACAAACCGAGGCTGCATTGAGGAATTCTTATTTCTTAGAGATGTACTGTAATTGCAGCTGAATACAAACCAGAGTAAAGCTCATGCATCTAAAAACAGACAAAAATGGCTCCAGGTAACGCGAGAAAAGAAGCTGCATCAGACTGAAGAAGGATAAGAGTTAAAGTACAAACTGAAATGAAAAGCATTTAGGTAATTATCCTTAATTTGCCTCGAATTGCAGTATCAGCTTATCTGCATTCGGCTTTGTAGTCTGCACGTAATTTTTGCTCTCGTACCATTCAACACTTGAACAGCTCAATAATATTTCTGTGAATTAATTCCTCATGTATGAGTTTAATGTAGTCCAAGGTGATGTGTGGGTGTCGTGTGTCGATGTAGATCTAAGTTTTGCTTACAGTGAAGAATGTACATTTTTGTGAAGGCTAAAAGCTGCCTCGAATATATTTTTGCTGCTGAATGACTGTGTTTAATGAGACTTAAGTTACAGTGTCTGATATTTGACAATTAAATCCATCTTATTTATATTTACAAATTTGAAGATGCATACATCCTTCAAGGAGAGATATTTCTGGCTTTTTAAGTGTGAAAATCTAGTGAGTGAGAATTTGTTTTTGTTGGTTCGTGTTCGTCTCAAAGAGAAGAAGAGTAGCTTTTGTTTTAATATCTGAAATCAGCTGACTTTGTTAGTAATTTTTACCTTTTCTTGTTCAGGAAGTAAAATCTCTTTTTACTCTTGAATTGTCATATCTCTTCATCTCTTGACTCGTTGTGGCAAAACAAAAAACCTTTTTGATTTGCTTATTTACATTGGAAAAAGAAGAATCGCACAGATTGCTTTTTCTCAACCTCGAGTCAAATGTTTGTTTTATTCTGACTAAACGCATCTGTTTGTGAAAATCTGGGAATAAGACTTAACGAGGCCGTTGTTCCTTTTTGAGTTTTCTGAAAGCGCTGCGAAGCGTCAGCTGACAGAGTGATCTGACATATATAACGGAGTCTGTGTGTCAGAGACAGATGGAGATATTTATTGCCTGTTGAGAAAGCTGACTGTCTCTGAAGAAGAACAGTGTTCTCTATCCTGTGTTTCTGGAATTTTTTTGCAGCTATAATTAGGGATAAAAATACTAAAATTGTTTAAATTCACCAGGTACAGTTTAGAGACAAGACAGCCAAAGCCTATCACATAATCATCAGACTGCTGATCTCTTTCACTCAGTGCAGTTCATTTTTTTTCTCCTATTTTTCATCATTCTGAAGGAATTTCATCACACAACATGCAGCAATTTATTCTGAAATAATTGTGCAAAAAAAAGAGAAGAATCTGTAATTTGCAATTTGCTTCAAAGTCCACAAATCTGTGTTCAATAAAATCTGCTATCAGTTAAACTACCCACTTTTTATTTGCATGCCCAAAATTCACACCCTCATATGTTCATTATTCTCTCTTCTTTTGACCAGGATTAGGATTTTGAAGCCCCTTTTTTTAGGCTGTCTGTGGTTTTTGCTTTGAAGCAGATCTCTCTTCTTCTGTCTCCGTGTCTGTTAAAGAAGCAGCTGCAGCTCCAATAGATGGCATCACAGCACTAGACTTCAGTCATCGTCCTCAGTGCTCAGCTCTGTTCTGCTCTGCCGAGCTGTACTGTGCGTTGCTTTTTCATGAGCTACACAGCCCCAGCTGTGGAGCAGACTGCGGTTATGGTACACTGAGACGTTCTCTATTTCAAGTTTAAAATCAGAAGAATTTGGTCCTAGTTTTCTAGTTTTCCTCCTTAAATGATTATGTTTCAAATTAAACTCTTTAGTTTAAATTAGTCCGATTTGAAGTTAGGAATACATCTGCGTACAGAGGAGTTGATTCTTATTTATGACAATAAATCCTGAGGCCCTGCTTTTAGAGACTGATCCAGTTAAATAGAAAAACAACTTATGGACTCATATTTGATGGTTAAATCTGCATGTGCTGGGAGGTTTCTGAAATCATATTTGTTTTCTTTTTCCCACAAAATTAAGAGAAAATGTGAACTGCACAGATCCTTTTTCAAATTTTTATTTTATTTTTTACCAATACTCGGTCTTCACGAACAAAATCAGCCGCTAAATTGAATATGACACATAAAATATGGCTCCATGTCATGTCTAATTTGCCTGCTAATTTTATTATGTAGTGGCCCATTGAAGCCAGTCAGTCCTGTAACTCAGTGTGATACCGCTGACAGTTATGACTCAGGATTATAACCTGTGTGTGTATGATGTGTGTGTGCGCGTGTGTGTGTGTACGCACGCTCATGTCACCGCACCGTGTCTCTGTAATCTGATTAATCACACTCCATTATACCTCCCTCATTTGTCCCACAATGCACAGCTTTATAGGGAATTAACACAGGTTTTTATTGGCTCGTACAATAAATCAACAGCAGCACCTCTCCTCTCACACAAAATAATATTATTTGTCCGGCGTGTGAAAGTGTTTCTGTCAGGTTGACTTGAGAGCAGCCGTCCTTAAATCTGCCGCTCTCGCTTTCAACTGAAGATATGTGTGTGTCACTTTGACTGCAATGTGTTTTTGTGTGTGTGTGCGTGAGTCCCCTGCTGGTCTGTTTCACTGCAGACACTCCAGACAGGAGAAAAAGATAGTCAGCTCGGATAATGGAGCGTTTCTCTACAGCAAATGTATGAAAAGGGGCTCCTGAAATGACAAATGATTGTGGCCTAAAAACAGGCAGACACAGAGAGAGAGAGAAAGAGAGAGAAGAAAAAAATGTATTCATTAGAAATTACATGTGGATGGAAAGGAGAGGCATGTTGGCTTTCAGTGCGGCTGGATGTCGTGATGTGAATTTGTGTTTGGTTGCATGGAGGGAATGTGAAGAGACTTACAGAAGAGAGAGGGAAAAACAAACACAGGCCAACATCTATTTGACTATTTTTCCCTCTAATGCACACTGATTTTCACTCATCTTTAAAGGCCGCCTGCTGTCTAACAGACAAGAATTCGTACTTTATTTCGGAGTGAAAAAACACCCTATTTGATATTTCTTCGATTATTTCTATTAGATCAGACCACATCTTTAAAACGATTCACAATTAAGCTCAAATTATGTGACTCTTTGAAGCATTGATTTCTTATACAGTACGTTTCACCAGATTAGTACCTTTTAAACATTAAATCTGAGCATTTGTGCAGCACTGTAATATCAAAAGAAGGTCTTTGTATTTGTCTTTTTCCTCAGATAAAGGTATCATATCAAAATGACAGCCGCTCGGTTTTAATGCCCTTTTTAATGTCATTTAAATCTCTAACTGTTGTGAGCAGACTGATAATCTTCCTCTTTGTGATCTGTGGACTAATGAGACCTCTCCTCTCTCGCCTCTTTGCGGTGAAGTCCCTGTCTTTATGTCTTAACGCTGAAAAACACAAAGACTTGGCTGCAGTGTGGTGTGGCCTCAGTGGAGATCTGTACTGACCATGGCTTCATGGGAGAAAAAAAATGGACAAAAAGGATGATAAAGAGTAAAAAAAAGATGGAGAGAAATAACAGCTGTAGCAGAACCAGTAAGAGGCTATTATTTTAGCTAATTAAAGAGATGTAGAGAGGGGAAAAAGGTTTGAGTCTAGCTGGTTGGACCTTGGCGTGCACAAGGGAAAAAAGGAAAAATGCAATCACATCTTCGCTGCACACCTCCACAGATATGTCTCTGATTAGTACAGAGAGTAAAACGTGGAATAATGTGACGCACCAGACAAGAGGAGGGAGACCTTTAGAGGAGAGTGTGGAGAAAAAGAGTCGATGCTATCCTGCTCAGCGTAAAGGTTAGGGAACGGCCTCAGCTGCTTAGCGTGAATACGGATATTAATACACGTGTAGAAGTATTTTAATTGTAGAGATAAAGAGAGACACCCATGACTATATTTTTCACTCTTTCAGTACAAAAAAAATATTAAAACTCAAACTGGTGTTGCTGCCAATTTGGGGCTGATTCGAAAAATGACAATCACAACAATACCACCTTCAAAAAATGCAGAGCGAAATCCTTGTATAGATAATGTTGGTAAGATATAAGTTATGAATGATGTAGCTGTATGATTCCATGACGTTTTAGCAGTTTAGCAAAGCACAAAAAAAGGAAATCAGTTTATTGTGATCGGTACAAAAACAGAGGAATGTTTGGACTCTCATGGATAAATAATCTGAGTGGTTTTTAACAGGCGCTTAGGTTTTTTTTAATAGGCTCAAGAACGGGATAATTTCTCTTTATTGTCAACAAGCCCAAAAGTGCTTCAAACACTTCTTAATATTACAGCACTTAAAACAAACACAGTTTTCAAAGCAGACAGTGAAGCCGCTAACAAAATGATTTAGATGGTTTAAAGCTACAGTTGACATAAACAGACTCAGCGTAATTTTCTAATGTAGTCCCTGCATATACAGATATGTTTTCAGACATGAACTGCTGTACCTCATAAGAACGTATACAATCCCCTAAAAAACAAAAACAAAGATACAGAAAATATGGAAAAGAAAACACTGAGACAAAATCAGATCCTTCAGAGAATATATACATAGTAGATTGTCTTGAAAATAGGATCTTAATGACACTTTTAAATGGATGACAAGTCCGTTCCCACTGAGCATTTTTTGGTCTAAAAGAGGTCTGATAGACGTCTAAATCTAACCTAGACGACTGGTGTAAAATCAGGCTACCACAGGTCAAAAAAATGAAAGTTTTTTAGATGTCTAAATTTAGACCAAGTCTAAATCTGGGCTGTATCTATACCACACTGTATTTTGCTCAAAGGCCATCATAACTATTTTGGTTAAGTACTTGGAGATCAGTTATGTTACTTTTTGAAATAAATAGTTATTGAATAACGGGTTAAAGTGCAACGTCTCAATTCCATCTAAAAATAAACTGAATCTAAACGGTTGAAATAAGGTCTAAAAAATATATATATCTAGTGGGTTTAATACAATTTTCATACCTGTAGGACAAAGTTTATGATATTATATAAAGGCGGCTTAGAGGTTAGTCAGCTGTTCTAGAAATATTTCTTTATAAAAATACAATAACTGTTTGAAACACTTCAATAATGAAATAAAAAAAAGTTTCATTTCTGTGATCAATAGTGTTGGTGTCAGTTATAGTGTCTAATTGGTCCCTTTTCTTAGGCTATTGTAGCCCTTCGTTTCATGTCCGTCCTTCAAAAATACACAGAACTGAAAAGATGTATACAACGTCTGTAAGCTAACGATCACTGTGTTGGCATTCATGTCACTCCTTCATCTTGTCAACTACTTTTTCCATCCTGAGGACTCCGACAGTAAGTGCTCTCCGAGTTTACATCTGTTTTAGCCTTCTGTTCTTTTCCATCTCTGCATTTCTCTCATTCTTTTCATCAGTCCAACCATCCTGAGAGGCTCGCGGTTTTTGACTCCCTCCTCTTTTCTATCTTACATTCCTGTCATTACATCCTGTGCAGACCATTACAGCTCCTGTCTGAAGGTTACCTTTTATGCTAGGATTTATTCCCACAATCATCCCATCAACTTGTTTTAACTTTGTGCATATCGGTTTTTGTTTTTACTTTGTACGTTAAAATGACATCTTTTTTGGTAACAGATTCCCAAAAATGAAGAGACAGTGATAATCCCATCTCCATGATTTTAGGACTTGTTATTCATTCTGAGTCAAGCACTGAGATTGTATTGGTCGTGTTTGTTCTTTTGGTATAAGATTCTGGCTAAACCTTCAGTTTCTATCAAAAGCTGACACATGCTCACCTGCGTGTGCGCGTTCAAGTGCTGTGTTTGGTAGCAGTTCCTGCCAGGATGCTTAAAGAGGAGCTGCAAATAGATTTTTGTAAAGGGGACCGGCCTTGGTCCCAACTCAGAGTCTTCCTCTGTGATCCAAACTTAAACAATGGGGACTGGTGACTTGACTGAGATTCAAGGTTGATTTTTTTTTTTTGAAATCTGAAGCCCATTCATAAAGGGACGAGTATGAAGCAAATAAACACTAAAATAAATGTTACCTAAGAAAATTTGCAATGCTCTTTAAGCATTCAAATCACACAAAATCAGTTGCAAACACAGTAAGATAAATAGTCTAAAAAAAGACTAACCATCATATGAAATACATGTTTAAAAATAGTCTGACTCATGAGTGTTTTTATGGGATTTGTCAGTGGTAATGAAAACACAGAGCAAACACTTCCCTCAGCCTTTAGAGAGAGTGACAGGGTTCATTGTTCAGGGTGTTGAAATGACAACAGGAGAGTCATTTTATAATGATGTTATGTCAGCGTTAGATAATTGGATTAGCCTGAGCTACATTAAGGTAAAGTGTATTAAATGATTTCTGATTTCCATCTGCTTGGTGATTTCCTCATGTAATAAAACACTGCCTCCAAGCATGCCTGTAAACACGCACACTCACTCACTTACACACACACACACACACACACACTCTTCACACACTATCACAGGCGACATGAGTGTGTGCTCTCATACACATTTAATGTATTACTCGCAGATCAAATACAGGCTTCCCACCTACTTCCCTCCCCAGAGAGACTGAGTGTGTGTGTTATTAACCCCAACACCACTGCTGCTTGTCTGCTGGCATTAACCCCATTATCCTCTCCTCCTCCTCCCCCCTCCACTCTCCTCTTCTCCTCTTGTCTTCTCTCCTCTCTCTCCTGCTGCAGCGATGAAGTTCAATGGGTGCAGTTTTCCTCTTTTCCTCTCTTATACACTCATTCTTTCCTCGTTTTCTCGCTCCCTCCATCTCTCCACAGTTGGCAGTGGCAGAGGTTAGACAAGCACACCCTGTCCCTCCCTCCTTCCCTCACGGGGTCCCAGAGGTGCTTTCTGCTTAACGAGGCTGGATATCTGTTTCCTAAAATCAATCGTCTGTCTTAAACGAACATCCCCGACCATCTGCTTCGGGGTTTACATACACACACACACGCACACACACACACACACACACAAGCACGCCCACACACTGTCTCACAGGAGCTTCAATCCCAATATTTGTTGTGTGTGATCCAGCAGACTCCTCAAGGACCCCAGAGAGCCAATGTAGGGGTCCTCCAGGGGCCCTCTCAAACTGCCTGAAGCTAGGGCCTCATACTTGGCCCTGCTCCCTCCCTCCCTCCCTCCTTTCTTTCTTCCTGTCTTTCTTCTCCCTCTTTCCCTCTGTTGCTTTTCTGTTTGATTAATCTCTAAATCTGTGTGACACATGGATGAGGCTCTGCCAGAGAACTGTGTGTGTGTGTGAAAATGTGTGATTGTGTATTTGTTAAAAAAAGAAGTGAAATGCGCAGCTAATCCCTTTAGCAAGCTGTTGCATGTGTTTGGGTGGTAACAGTGGCATGAGAAGACCTGTCGTTGAAGATCTCACATCTTTGTACGTTACTCTCGCCCGTGTTGACTGGGTGACCTCTCAGCTCTTTGATACTCCGTCTTTGAAAGTACAACTCCACGTTGTTTCATCACTGTGTAAAATCATGACAAAACAGGTAATTGTACTTAATAAAAAAATACTTTCTACAACAACATACCAATAATTAAAGTTTTACCTCTTTGAAAAAAATGTAAGTTTAGGGCCATTGTAATAGGACAATTCATCATCCTACATTGTGAACACACATGCAAATCAGCACCTACAGTATATAAACCATGAGTACAAACTTGTAATGTGTGCAGGGTCTCATTTCACAGTAAAAAACACTGAAATCTTCTATGCATTACACGCTATAGCATCAAACTTTCATTTCATCACAGATAATTTTGACTTACTTGGTCGATGTAGCTGGCAGCTAGGGCTATAAGACTTGTGTATTTTATGCATTGTTTTTAGCAATGGTGGGTGCAGAGGCTGAGAGAAAATTGTGTTTTTTTACCCATTATGTTTGATTGAATACTCTAGTAAGAACCCTTATGGTCATCTGTGACACGTGCAAAGACATTTTTAAAGAAATATTCTGGTTGTTGAATTAAAGAAACTTAAGATTAAGTCAAAATGCAGGAGTAATGTAAAATTATGAGCTTTAGTTTATCAAAACTAATCGTCAAATTCCAACATAGTCAACGAAGACCCGCCAGTTTCATCCCTAAATAGTTGGCATCGCTCTTTTAATCTGGTATCGCTTAAACCCCAGATTCCTCCCCCCTCTTCCTCCCTGTCTCTATTGTATTCCCGTATTCCCTTGTCTCCAACCCCCCCTCTTCAGTAATTACACCCAAAGTCAAAAGATGGTCCTGTCAATCAAAGACTCAACTGTCACTTTGTCTGCTTTGTCTCTCACATCTCTGTCTGTTTCTGTCTCTGCTGATTTCAGGCTGCGCTGTCACAATAGTGCAGAGCTGTTCATGCGTTCATCAATGTCTCGTGTTTGGGTTTTTCCACGTACATGCTTTTACGGGCTTGTTGGCTATTGGTCTTATTTGTTTTGTTTAATCTTTAACTGTAGATTTAAACATTTGAAACAGAAAGCCTTAACATGTGTCCACAATGGTAAAACGGACTATAGAAATAACTCGATGGATGCTTATATTGAGGCAGTGATACCATTCACAACCATACCCTCTTCTATTGTTGTTCGGCATTGCCAGATATCGATAGGTTATAAAAGGCAGGAGGAAAGCAGCTTGGTAACAACTGAAGAATAAGAGATGGCTGAAGTAAATGTAGGAACAGATTTTCAATGAAAAACTGATGTTCATCTGCTATTTGCAACTTTTTGGGCAAAGGAGAGAAGACATGTTACTTACCACTCGGGGAGGGCTGGGCGATAAACCGAAAATTTACTGATACTGAAATTTACGACAATAACCAACGCCATTTTTCCCATATCAGTATATTTGGTGTCAAAAAAATAAATAAATAAAAGTTGTTTTTGGATGTATGTAGGTAGACTATGGTCTCATGTCCCTTTAAGACGCTGTCCTATGTCAGAGACATGACTCCACCCCATCCAGTCCGTAACAAAGAGGGAAAAACAGGTTAGGAGATTGAGGACGGTTCAAAAGTTGTAGTGGCTGAAGTAGATGAAGTTAATGAGGGAGGGGGTGAGCAGCTTGTGGAGTAGTTATCGTACATTCATCATTATCGGGGTGAACTGCTCAATATATCGTGATATTGATTTGAGGCCATATCGCCCAGCCCTACACTCAGGGTATTGGTGCAAAAACAAGTTAACTGTGAAAAGACATCAAGACTGTACAGCTAGTAAGAACAATCAAACGTTTATTAATCAAAGAATTAAAAATTGACATGTAATTTTTTTGCCATAAATCCCTGGCCGGCTTTGATATCTGATTTTTGACTTAAGTTGAGACAACGTTTTCTCAAAGAACAGTCAAATGGAGGTCACAGATCATTTCAGTGAGGATGCCTTGCACAGTCCTTAAATTTACTCTTGGTGTGTAAGTTAAACAGACAAAAGACACAGTGAGGAAATGCTGTCAAAGTGGGAATCCCTGTTCAGATGTCACAGGTCAGCCTGTTTTATAGTTTCAAATTACTTTAAACTCTACCAAAGTTTAGTTCTTATGTTTGTTATCGATCATTTCCCAATATCATTGAAAAAGACCAGATATTAGAGTTTATATTAGAGTATGTAACCAGTGAGATGAATGTCTTCCTGGCTATTTCTATATATTAGGCATGAATAAACACACACTTTCACACACATGAACACACACACACATGAACACACAAACATACTTCCAGTGATTGAAGGGCTAATAGGGTTAATTGTCATGTAAAACCATCACTGCAGTCAACTTCACGGCCAGTCACTCAAAATCTTTTACACACACACACACACACACACACACACACACAGTCATATTTGCACACTCTCCCATGGGATCCCTCCTCGCCCAGATGGCTTTTTTCCCGGTGGCTGTGTGCTTCAGTGTGTGTATGTCTGTGTGAGATCCTGGCAGGCCACAAGGGGCTTCGCGGTGAACAAGGCGCATCTTCTCCGTCTAATTAATTTACTATTATATAGCACCTGTTTCAGGCTAGATAGAGCTGAGGGCACACACTCAGACACACACACACACACACACACACACACACACACACACACACAAAATGATGAAACAGAGAGGTATTAGAAGGGGAGGTAGAGGGGCGGCACAGGGATGGACAGATGAGGAGAAAATAAAAATGAAGGGAGGGAGGAAGAGGTGAAGGAAGGAAGGAAAGGAGGGTAAATGGAAAGACAAGAAGGAAGGGGGGAGGAAGCAGTGGGGGTAGGACATGAAGGAGGGGGAGGAGGGATTGAGGGAGGCAGTAATAAATGAGTTTTTGAACTGATTATATTAAGCTGATCCTTTGATCATGTTTAAGGCCTTAAAATGGAAATATGTTTTCTCTTAAGGAGGGAGAAGAAGAAGGAGGAGGAGGGGGGAGGAGGACAGCTCATTACATGTGGATACCATTGCCAGTTTACTCAGTTTTATTCCCATCTATTGAAGATTGAACTCTTCATCTTCACTACATTTAAGCTAGTTAACTTTATTGTCTTATTTTTTGTTCACTTTTCTCTTTTCTGTGGACCCACTTTGTATTTATGGTTTAAAAATGGGTATAAAACATAAATAGTAACTAACAGAGGCTACACTTAACAGCACTTTCTTCAGCAGTATTATTTGTACATCAGAAACCATTTTGCTGAAAAGTACAGTCTGGTTTAAGAAGTTGTAGTTAGTGTTGTTTGTTTTTTAAACTGTGGTTTTGCAAAGTAGTTAGCTGGACATAACCTTTGTAAAAGCTTTGCTCCATTATTATCATTACAGAGTTGACTGTTTGATTTAATATTTTCACCTGAGGAAGTCAGCATCATTATAATGAGATGATTACACGAGTTAACACAGTTTCAATATCCCCAGGCCTGAAATGCCATACATGTTGTGTCTTAGCTTTAATGCAGTCAGCCACCACTTACCAAGTCTGTCTTACTCAGGTTAATAATGACTACTGCCATAATGCTCTACTCTAAGGATGTAAACAAGCACTGCCGACACATGGCATCTGGTAGCATCCATTTTTCTCTGTTTGACAAATCCAGGGATTCTTTCATTTTTAGTACAAATAAGGTGGTGGACTCTAAAATGGTTGAAGAATAAATTGTTCAAGCAAAGTATTTGATTTGGGCTCAATAGCAAGCTAAACAAATGTAAGACAGATGCCTTCAAACTTGAAATTATCTTGAAAGAAGTTCGTAATGATGGTTTAGTGATGATGACTATGTTGGCTGGTTGGCCTGTTGCTTGGCGGCAGGCCATGTGACTGGGGCTAAAGGTTGGATACAGGGATCCTTTGAAGACCAGGCCTTCTCGATCTACTCCACTCTATGCGTTTTTTTTTTTAACAGCAAGTAAATCAGTTGCTTTAAAACATCCTAGGGTATGTTGTTGTGCTATTTAGTGCCTCTACTTACAGACCTGGACCACTTCCACTGTAATGTCTGGCTGTTACTGTGTTTCTCTATAAAATTATGCTTTTTTATTTGCATAGTTTCTAAATTCGCAGTAGTTTCCTCCCTGTGGAGATTGTTTGGGTCTCTGCTGCATGTTTGTCGGGAACTGAGTGCCTGACAAATTCTGATCATGTAAAGATGCCGGGTTTGTTGGTCGTCAGTTAATGCAGGTAAAGAATGGGGCACATTGTCAAGCAAGAGAAAATAAATGTAAAATATTGTTAACCCTGGTGCCTTACTTCTTACCAAATGCACATGATACATAATTTAAAAGTAACTTCCCATCCCAGAGCTGAAAGCACTTTAATTAATCACATTGTGAGTTCTTTCCATCTGTGGGAGCGAGTAAAAATAAAGCATCAGTGATACAAGAACAACTCGGCTCCCAGTACAGTGATATACCACCACCTCATCTCTCCCTCTGTCTCTTTCTGAGTTCATTAGTTTCCAGACCGGTGCTCCTCCTGGATTACCATAACCTGTCAGCCGTGAAACACCACAAAACAATTTTCAGCTTGTAAAAAAAAAAAAAGAGAGAGAGAGAAGAAGAAGGAGGGAGAAAAAAAAATCAGCCCACCTCGCTCTGCTGCCTCTCACAGCCACAGGGAGGAGAGAGGGCGGGGAGGTTACGCTACCTGTATGTTTTTCTAATGAACACCACACTGAACTAATAAAAACATGTCAGCCAGGGAGAGATGCTCAGTAGTAAAGGGGAGGATGAAAACACCAGCAAGTGGAATTAATGCAGAAAAATACCTGTTTCAGATGGGTGATAATTCCTTAAATATGAGCCTCATGATTTCCCTGCTGTGAGCAGCTTAGGACGAGGTTGAGTTTGAAAGTCACACACTTTTGTTTAAACACAGTTAGTTTACTTAATAGTCTACCCTTTTGTATTTGATCTGATTAAAAAGAAGCAAAAACACTTCCCCCTGTAAATTAAAAATCTGAACCAACAGAGCAGACTGTTCAGACTGCTGCTGGTGCTTTCCTGTAAATATTGACTGATTATTTTCGGTGAGTTGTCCTTTTCTGCTTTCCAGTGCTGTGTTTTTTTCCTACTGGACAAACATTGACATGACCACATACTGTGCATGCACTGAAAATTGGAAAATTGAATAAAATGAACAAGACCTCTTTAATAATTTTGTGTATTTATGTCTTTAAAATGTGCCATAGATCCTCAGGAGTTTATATGTCTGATTATCCCGTCTGATGCTCCTTTCTCAGGCTGTCAGGCTACAGGATACACGAAGGATGTCACACACTCTGTTGGTCTGTCACTGTCTGTTTTCACGGCTGCTCCGGGTCTTCAGCGGGACAGTTTAACGTCCAAACAGTCACAAAGGCCACTGACCAGCAAAACATCCATCATATAGTGGCAGGCGCCGAAAGGAAGTGTCCACAGTGAGTCGAAGCAATAAACTGCTTTTTCCCCTTTGGCTTTCACCTTCACAAAAAATAGATATAACAAGTAATAGGTTTAAAAATCAATATTTCTTCACTCTAAACAGCCTTTTTATATTCGTATCTCCTCCTAAAGCCTTTTCCAGTGACTTACTTAAAGAAAATATGTATTTAGAGAAACACATGTTACAACAAAAGCCTATAACATAAACATATTTTTCTCAATATTCTTCTAATTGGCTTTTGCGGGAGCTGCCTCTTCAGTTTTTAGATATCATATCGAATAGGTAGTATTGAGCACAACTCTACTGTTACCACCTAGCACAATTATTATATTTTATGGCGGCTATTAAACTGATTTTAGACATTTTAGCAGCAGGGTTTCCAACACAAGCGTAACAGAATGTGGTGTTCGATATACTGTATGTTTTCGCCTTTTGAAATATATGTTCCTAAGTTACTGTAAACAGCCATAAAGTGGTTGTTTTTGCTGTAATATCACTGGCTGTACACATAAGCACATTAAAGAAAACTTGGTAACATTAGGTTACTCACGCATTAAGAGTCTGCAGTTCATGTGACTTAACTACTGTAAGCTAATACTTGTGATTGATGCAAGGGCTGCCCCGATACGATATTGATATCAGATATCGGTCCGATATCGGCCAAAAAACAAATATTGGATTATGTCGGCCTGCATCTAAAATCTCCAATATCAGCACTCCAATAAAAGCAGCCCATTCCAGACTCCACTCCGGCACCTCTAGCTAGCAGCACCCTGATCCAGCATACAGAGCCCACATAATTAGAACAACAATGTGTACTAAGGTACTAATAAATTAGCAAGGAGTGGGAGTGATATTGGCTGGGTGGCAGTATTTTTCATTAAAGTCTGAAAAAGACGTTGCAGCTCAGTGCAAAACTTATCATGCACAGGTTAGAGCTAATATTGGATCAATATCCGTATCAGCCAATACGGATGGCTACAATATCGGTATTGTATCGGAAGTAAAAAAGTTGTATCGTGACACCCCTAATTGATATTGGTCTGCTGAGTGTTTGATGGACTCCTGTCTTTTAAGCAGACTCGGTACATGGACTTTAATAAGCACAGCACTACACGAAGGATTCAAAGAGTTTTATTCGTCATTCCAGTCTACAAGAGAAAAGAACGAAACTCAAACATAGGACGCAAAAAAGTAAAAACTTGAAATAAAAACTTTAAGGAATTATAATAAAGTTAACACCAATATTTACATTAAAAATATAACTGATATTTACAGCAGCCTTAACCTAAATAATAATATTTACAATGGACCTAATCTAAAACGCAGTACACACTGGGGTACAAATCAACATAGTAAGTGGAGAGCAAACAGGCTTTTGTGCAAGACAGACTACAGTAAGGTGCAATTTGACATTATTGCACATGTGGTGTCCTTCTTTCTGTATGAGAAGCTTACAGAGCAGTACCAGTGTTCAGCAGTCTCACCGCTGTTGGGAGACTGCTGAGCTCTGGAACTGCTCTGTACTCTACTATATGTCTTCGGCTTATTTGTCTAAATGTCTTTAACTCAAGTTGGCCCATGTAGACTCCACATCATCTCGGGAGCAGTGGGTTTTCACAGTACAAGAAAATAGTGAAATTGTGTTTTTTGGTCTTTAAAGCTGCAGTTCATGAATTTAGCATGAAAAAAGGAACTGTTTCATTTCAGCCCCTGCAAAAATGAGTTTGCATAGTGGTGATTAAGTTTATGAATTTATCAACAAGCACTCGTCTCTCCTTTTTGACCACTATTTGCTTAGATTTTTGTATGTGGATCACTCTCAGTGTCTTAAAAGGAGACCTTTTTTTCTCGTTTGGAAAAGTATCCAATCCTGTTTTTATAAGATACATGAACACTCATGCACAACCTCTAAGCCACAGTTTTCAAACCCAATATTTATTTTCTCACTTTCTTCCTTCTCTCATTCCCCCATCAAAGTGTGTGTGTGTGTGTGTATGTGTGTTTTTGTGTCTGTGTGTGTGCAGGTGGTTACAGTCTGAAAGCTCCCCTACTTACCTTGGTTTGAACAATAGAGAGCTGTGAATAGGAGCCGCTCACGTGATTTACTATAATGGCCTTGCAGAGCCAGACACTTTTTGTGTGTGTAAGTGTGTGCGCGTACGTCTGTGTGTGTGTATGGGTGTGTGTTTGAGACATATAGAGACAATGCATGTGCTGTTGGCTGTATAATTACAGGCGTAATCTTACTATGCAGATGGTTTCATTCACCCGAGCAGGGGGAGTGGGGGAGCGATGTAGTGACATAAAGAGTATAGGTTGCAATATATTAAGACTAATATAGGCTTACTGTGGTTTGTGCTGTTGTAATGGCACCCTGTGACACATGGCACAGACTGGGAAAGGTGAAATTACAGTGTATCATGGGCGTGTGGAAATGATGAAGAGTAATGGTCATGTAGTTCAGCAGGCACGTGTTTTACTGCAACAACAAGGTACGAGATACTTCACTCAATTTCTCATCTCTGAAAACACGATATTCTTACCAAATGAGAGCACTGTTGTACATCAGTTTTCATGCTTGTTCTTGATTGTGTAAAAGTCAATGAAAACATAAACTTGTAGTTCAAAAGGAGGAATCTGATTGTGGCTTTGCTCTTCCGCACGGCTCTATGAAAGCGATGAAGAAAGCACAGATAAGTTCACTCCATTCGAAGTATTGATTTCCTCTTTCACGGTTTTTAAAATAGCTGTTATGTGATCATGTATCAAGTGTTCCTCTCAAGAAATGTCTGGCTCCAATGTTAGCTTTCTCTTGATATGAAGAAAGAAGTCACGTAATGTCTTTTTATCATAAAATGTATGGTTGAAATGTGAAGGTGTAGGTGAAGTAAACAGCTTTGGAGTACCATTGTTCTCCTCACAAGTATCCGTTTTTTCTTAGCTCTTGTTTGGACCTCTTTACCACACTGTTGGATGTAAACTGTAAACATGGAGCATAAAGGGCCCTTCTCTAAGTTGTCTGTCCACTCAGCTTTTTCAAAGACAGCATCCTCTCTTTAAGATTGAGCTTTGAATTTGACTCTGTACGTTGGACTTAAGAGCAACACTATCATAACAAAGTGAAAGAGACGCAGAATGAAAGTTTGATTTATCATAGCCCTCTGCTTTTAGTCTTCAGTACCTCAATCATTTAGATTGATATATGAATAATTCTGTGTATAATTTTAGTTTTTAGACAAGCAAAAATTTTAAAGACTTATTTGTTGAGATCATCAAATGGTAGGTCTGGGTGATATGGCCTGAAATCAATATCCCGATGTATTTAGCAGTTCACCTCGATAACGATACATGGACGATAACTACTCCACAAGCTGCTCACCCCCTCCCACATTAACTTTGTCTACTTCATCCGCTGCTCCAGCCACTACGACTATGTCCTCCATCTCCTCACCTGTTTTTCCCTCTTTGTTAAGAACAGGATGGGGTGGAGTCACGTCTCTGACAGAGGATAGCGTCTTAAAGGGACATGAGACCATAGCCTACCTACACACATCCAAAACCAACTTTTATTTAATTTATTTTTTTGACATGAATATACCGATATGGGCAAAATGACGTTTGTTATTGTCGTAAATTTTGGTATCGGTAAATTTTTGGTTTATTACCCAGCCCTATCTAATCTCTTGTTAAAGCGTCTCACACAGGTACACAGGTGAAAATGAGTTTTTCCCTTTGTATTTTGTCACATTGCTTAAAAGTGCATGTCTGATAGGGGTGGGAGAAAAAATCAATACAGCATAGTATCGTGATATTTTGCCTCGTGACATATCGTATCGTCTCATTGACCAAGTATCGTTTTTATTTTTCAAATGAATTGTTAATATGAAGTCAAATCTATGATAATAGAAGAATAAAATCAGCTGTTTGTCCAGTGAGGTTGGCAGAGGTCACATCACCGAGCAGGAGAGAGTTAGTACAACAAATATATACACAAGGTTTGCAAGACGTGCTAAACGAAAATAAAATATTGTGTTAATAAGACAAACATAAAGGCGTTTGCTAAAGTAGCTAAACAGTTGAAAAAAATTGTATAGATCGCAATATATCGTATCCAATTATTCACTGCATATTCATTGCAATAATATCGTATCGTGGCCCTAGTATCATGATAATATTGTATCATGGGGCCACTTGTGATTCCCATCCCTAATGTCAGAGTGTGTGTTTGTGAAGCTCCAGCTGTGTTTACCCCTTCTGCTTCTGCAACCCTGTAACGACATGTGAATTCACACACGGACACACCTGTATTAGTCTGTGTAAAAGTACAGAGATGTATTAACGGTGGTTTTCATCGGAAACTTGCAGTATAGACCTCTTTACAGCTGTGACAACAACAGGAGTGTGCACATGTTGGCCTTGAAAGTATGATGAAGTACAATAGTTTGTCAAGCTACTCCAGGTGTTAACCAGCAAAAATCACTGTTGACCTCTACTATTGACTATTTGATGAGTTAACTTTTGCCAACAGTGGTGAAAGTGGTGGACTATTTGACTGACTTCTTGATACTAAAGTCAATAGTAATCTCTATCTTTGTTCAAATTAAGCTCATTTCATTCATGCTTGCTTTCAGGCTTGTGGCTACTCTAATGATTATCTGAATAAACGTGAGTTTTTCCATCACTGTACTTTGCTTTCTAATAATAGACGCTCGGATACTCTCTCGTGGGTTAAGATCAGTGTCAAGCCCACAGTGTTAGATAGCGATAAACCAAACACTCCTGACAGACTTTCTACTGTAGATCTCTGTGGCTCTCTCTCCTCGTAGCTGTATATCTCCTCCCTCTCTCGCTCATTGTTTAGAAAAGATTACAGAGGGGGGAGGATACTTTGATGGAGAGAGATGGAGGAGGAGGGAAAGCTGGAATCCTAAATCTTAGTATTTAGCAGCCAGTTAATGTACTGAGGGATAATACGACGTGTCCACAGGCAGCGTCTTTATGTCTGATGTGTTTTTACCAGCTTCTCAGCAGCTTGGCAGTGTTTACACACTCTAATAACAAGTGGCGTCTTTCAGG